TGCGTGCGCGAACACAGACAAAGACACGGTCGCTCACCATGCCCTCTTTCCCGGTTGTCAGCGTAAGCAAAGCCTGTAAACATTGACTATGGAAATACCATGCTAGGCCGCCACAATAGTGAGCCGCTGGTGAAGTTAAGTCAAATTAAAAAAGTTGAGGGTTGGTGGCGATGAAAAAAGGGAGTGGCGGTCCACGAAGATCACGAAAGTGGACTTTGTGAGATGAGGTTGATGATGAGAGAAGATGAGATATTGTGAGACGCGTTGGTGAACTGCGAGGCTAAGCGCGTTCATGAAAGGAAAGAGTTGGAGGGAGAGATTGCAAGGCACTAGGCCGAAACTGGGGCGGGGAGCAGGGATTGCGCCTCGAGCTGTTCGCAATCCCGGCTCAGATATTGTCTGGCTCCTTCTTTTTCCGTGCGTTGCGACCTGTCGCAACAATCTCTAAAGACTTTGACTGTCGAGTAAGAGATGCCAATGGAGATTGTCTTTTCCCCCAATCTTTTTCTAAGAGACTCACTAAGTTTCAGTTCCTATTTAATGCGTTGCGGTAGAACATGCTATGTTTGTTACCACGTCTCAGGCAGGTAGGTACTTACCAAGCTGGATAACTAAGGGACTATAGGTAGTCTTCAACCGTCAAAGATACTTGAGTACCTCGGCAACTTGCCTAATCACACTACCTACCACGATACTAATCGGGTACGTCAGTTACCTGTTCCAACTGTTATATCTTTACTCCTTGAGCCAACTTGTTGAGTTTCGGGTTCAACACAGAGGGGAGCCGTGCATAGGACTCTAACGTCTGCGTGTCAGTTTCCGCCTTGTCTTGTAGAGAGAGGCAAAACGTTATTACCGCGCAGATAATAAGTACACTTCTACAACAGCCATGTCTCTACGAGGTACCGAAGGCAATGCACTTGACCAGCTTATTTCACACATAAGTAAGCACACAAAGACTAATTCCTGTAATTGTCGCAGGTCGACTCAATCAATTCAAGACAACTAGTGCAAACATTGCGAGAGTGCAAGTTGCATAGTTGAGACCTTGATAGGGTAAGTAGCCCGGACTTGCATTGCGGAGTTCAACACTCAAAGACGTCAACCCTGGCAAGCACGCGATTGACAGACAAATTTGATATCTTCTCTTCACGCAACTCTTCATTCATATCTATGGTTAAGTACACTGTACAGTTCGAATAACAATTTTCAAGTCGTCTCGACTTCCTCATAAGAAAATAGGAGAACTTGACATTCGAAGAGCGAAATCAATAAGAACCTTGGATGAAGAAATCGCCAATTGATGGATCTATTTCTTTTCTTATGCGTACCATTGGGCAACTCTCCGTTGTTGAAGCTCACGACGGCTGATTGTGATAAGTTAACCACATCATGGTATGCTGTTATTGGATCAAGTACGGGATTTTGGCTCCATGACTGAACCCAATGAGGTTGTTACTTTCATGACGACGCAAGAACGCAGCCTTTGAATTTTTTTTTTTGGTAAGTGCAATGTCGATAGGTATCTCGTCGGTAGTGAATTGCGATCTCGTGCTTGCTACTTTAGATAAGATAGTATTTAGCAATGGAGGAAGGTACGGGAGACAACTGATGCTGAGTCATGCTACCAGCAATCATGGACAAAACTGAAGTGCCTTATCCATACCTAATGGAGGTATCGTAGTGTAAAAACCCCTGGCAACCGGATAGGATTAATCCGGCCATGATGCTGCTAAAGCAGATTAGGTGTGTTTGGAGATTGAAAGAACGGACCAACGGGAGAGGGCGGCGCTAAGGAATGGTTCGCGCAGTCAAAGAGGAATCGATGAAATCATCGCACATTACATGGCCAAGCACAGTCGGCCTAGCCTCCAAATACCTGGAGCAGGCCGTGCCGAAGCGGACGGCATGCGGCGCTAGCATCATAAACCTTGGACGATAATTTGATTTGATGTGTCCACTGGCAAGATGGAGAGTTTTGAGGGCGACTTGGTCCTATCTTGAGGAATGTCTTTGCTTATGATGTAAGGCAGTTTTTGTCCTTGAGTTCGACGGCCATGAGGGTGGGCAAATGCGAACTTGCGTACTTACTTGGGCATTGGAGCAAGACTTTGGGCAGTGATGGGAATTGAGAGTTGGTGGTCCCTCATACCTTAACCGCACGAATGCCCAGATGGCAGTCAAAAGGTTAAAGAGCTAAGACGGACCAACCCATAATCCATCCCAGCCCACCTGCGTGCTGCTCAGTTCAATAGTTCAACCCCCGTCGGGACCTGCAGATGGCCTGGTAATGGGAACAGATAGGCATGGGTTGATGGGTCCTCTCTTGCAGCTTGTGTCGAAAGCTTGCTGTCTTCCTCATCCCAACTTCCCAAGTCGGTCCCCTAGAGCCCGGCCGTCCGTTTCATGAACCCACATTGGGCGAAGGGTTCGTAGAGACGGCGCCATCCCGGAGGGCGATCATCATGGCTGTGTTTTTTGTAATTCGAATGGGGAATATGTTTGGCCCTGCCTGTCCTTCTTTCTCCCAACCACGGCAGGCCGCACGCATGGATTGCTCGGTGTCAGATCACTTAGCAGGTCTTCGTCTGCACTTTTCAGCTAACGTAGGCCGGGCTAGACCGCAAAGGGGAGTGACTTTGAACAGAGCTATGGAGATTGTAGCCTTTGACGACGATGACAAGCCGATTGCAGCTGGAAAAGCACCCCGTCAATACCTTTGGTGTGGGGCACTTGTCTTGTACCCGTGTAGGCCTGCAGGCACCAGGTTAGCTGGGTGACGCTGCGAACAACGCCAAAAAGTCGAGCTAAAGACACAGATGACGTCGTCAGCGCGAAAGAGGCACCGAGGGGGAGGAGCATTCAAGGGGGGACGGCACACACACTCTCCCCCACTGGGGACCTACCTTTTACTGCGTAGGTACGAAGTACGCGCACCTTGTGTTGTCCGTCCCGTCACCTCAAAGTCCCGTCACCTCCGCAACTACCTAACCTCCCCTTGCCTTACCCAGTAGACCACACCACTGGACCCTTTCCGGCGCCTACATATAAACAGCCGGCCTCGCTTCATCCTCAGGGGCCTTTTGACCCGACCTCCATTTGATCTCTTCCCACTCATACCCCTTGTCACACCCCGCGATACCCTGCTTCCCAGCGCATCACTGCATTGAAGCTTCATTTTCCTAGATACACAGATCCATTGTCTACAACGACTTCATACCGCCGACGCCGTCCCACTCCCACCACTACAGTCAGTCAACGTCACTTCCAACATCATGCATCGCACATACTCCATGCGCCAATCGAGGGCGCCCACCGCCTCGCAGATCCAGGTATGCGCCTAACTTCATGACAATCTTCGATGTATGGTACGATACTTATCATGTTCGTAGAACCCGCCTCCGCCGCCTTCTTCCACCAAGTCTGGTCGCCTGTTCAAGGGAGGATTTGGTAAGTAGTCTTTTCTCCATCGATTGCCACCTTTGCGCCGTGCCATTTCCCATCTTTTGAACTTGGGAAGCACGATGGGCTAACAAGTCAATCCAGGCCATGCTCTCCGCCACAAGTCAGCCGGTGCCTTCGGCCCAGACCTCGCAAAGAAGCTGTCTCAGCTGGTGAAGATGGAGAAGAATGTCATGCGCAGTCTCGAGCAGGTAGCGAGAGAGCGTATGGAGGTTGCTGTAGGTCGTCTGAAGATACCATCGTCCCGTCATACATCTGCTGACTTGATCCCCTAGCAACAACTTTCCATTTGGGGCGAGGCTTGCGACGAGGATGTATCTGATGTAACCGACAAGCTCGGAGTTTTACTCTACGAAATCGGCGAACTCGAGGACCAATACGTCGACCGTTATGACCAATACCGTGTTACGATCAAGAGCATTCGTAACATTGAAGCCTCTGTCCAACCCAGCCGAGACCGTGAGCTCTACCCTATGCTCGACACATGCGGTATCGTTGCCTAACTAACATGAACTTTAGGCAAGCAAAAGATCACCGACCAGATCGCTCAGCTCAAGTACAAGGAGCCCAACTCCCCCAAGATTGTCGTCCTTGAGCAGGAGCTGGTGCGTGCTGAGGCTGAATCTTTGGTCGCAGAGGCTCAGTTGTCCAACATTACGCGCGAGAAGATCAAGGCTGCCTACACCTACCAATTTGATGCCCTGAGAGAGCACTGCGAGAAGGTTGCCATTGTCGCCGGTTACGGAAAGCACCTGCTCGAGTTGATTGACGACACCCCTGTCACTCCCGGAGAGACTCGTGCAGCTTATGACGGATATGAGGCTAGCAAGGCCATCATCCAGGATTGCGAGGATGCTTTGACCAACTGGGTCACATCCCAAGCTGCTGTGTCTTCCAAGCTGTCAACTCGTGCACGCACCTTGTCAACGCGCCGCAGAAATAACATTAGAGCACGTGCCGAGGGAGGTCACGACCTTTCGGGGCAAGATGTTCCGTTGAACGACGACTCGTCGTGGACGCGGGCCCACAACAAGGAGACTGAGTACAGCGACGAGGACGAGGAGGAGGAAGACATCCACCACTCTGCCGTTGGTACCGACGATGGTCTGAGCGGCGAGACGAGAGGCCGTCAGCACGAGAGCGTCGTCGCATAAGACAACGACCGCATGTCTCTGGACCTGAGTCAACCCATCCTGCTGTTGACAACGGACGGCATTGAGCACATAGCTCGTAATGGCAGTAATGTTGGGATTTTGGCAAAAGCCAAGGAAAGCGTTTGGTGCAGGTGTTTGGGAATCGGTGCCTCGGTAATCTAGTCGAGGTCGACTTGCTACGGTGAAACAGGATGGAATTTTATGGTTTAAAATAGTGCCTTTTTTCAGCTCTTAATCCTCAGTATTCCATACCCAAACGATACACTACATCCATTTATGCCGCGTAATGCTTCGTGGAGTTCAGATGCTTCCGCGCCAGTAATCTTGAGCGCTTCACAATTCGTTCCATATACAGTCGCGCAAATGATCAGTCACCTTCGAGACCTATACGACAACGTCGGCGTATGGATTCCGGCTCCCGATCTGACTCGTGAATTCTTCTACTTCAATCTTCACAATGTACTGCCCAGGCACCACGACCAAGCCCAGGTACCGGGATGTCATGTCCATCGTGACCGAGGTGATCCCTTCTGTAGCCTTCTTTGCGGCTTCAGCCCGCTGCTGCGCTGATGGCTGTCGATATTCGTAGGTATGAGCTAGTACTACATTGCGATCCTATAGATTTGAGGTTGGCATTGATTAGCGAAACGATCTTGACGAAGGGAACCCATAAGGGGAGGAGGTTAGGATTGGAGGGGTAGTAATTTACCGGATCGGTGCACTTGAATTGACCAAGAAACATACGGCCATCAGTAGCCAGGACGCGTAGGTTCTTGTTGAGAAGCGAAGTCAGGAAATCTCTTGCCTCCTGTTTGTCCATGGCGACTGGTTGACGGCAATGTTGGACATTGCTTTTCCAGGCGTCGAGGAGAGTGAAGGTCAAGGATGGAATGGCGCATAGACGGCGCAGTTGCGAACAGTTCCCCTTGGCGGTGATTGCAAGCGGATGAGGTTTCTGCCCCGCCGCTTACATCTGCACCCAATCGATAAGCACAGATAAAGACGCCCCTAGTGGAGGCAAGCGCGTCATGACCTCGAGCCCCCATGTCAAATGGCTTACAGGCAGCTGCGGGCGTGTTCATTCTTCACGAACTCGTAATCTCATTCACTTTTCACAACCGCTACACTTACATCTGTGCTACTTTGACTGTATCAGGACCTAGCGCCCACCTTCTACAATGCTATATACACTCGGTAGATGAGGAGAGCGCTTCTCGCAGCATCAGACACCCTCCGAAGCCGACCCCTCCGTGAACCCCGAATCAAAGGTGTCGGCTCTGCGCTCCCGCCGACGCCATGGGTGTGAACGGCCTTTGGACCGTCGTGCAGCCCTGCGCGCGCCCGACGAACCTCGCGACTCTCAATCGAAAGCGCCTCGCAGTTGATGCTTCCATCTGGATATACCAATTCCTCAAGGCGGTGCGAGACAAGGAGGGCAATGCCCTGCGCAATTCGCACGTCGTCGGCTTCTTCCGCCGCATCTGCAAGCTGCTGTGGTTCGGCATCAAGCCCGTCTTCGTCTTTGATGGCGGGGCTCCCGTGCTCAAGCGCCAGACAATCCAGGGTCGTAAGCAGCGGCGTGAGGGTCGGAGGGAGGATGCCGTCCGCACGGCTGGGAAGCTGCTGGCTGTGCAGATGCAGCGGATTGCCGAGGAGGAGGAGGACAAGAGGAAGCGCGATGCGGACCGAGGCATCCAGCGAGAGCGAGAGGAACCTCAGGAGGCTATACCTGATATGGAACAGATTGTTTACGTTGACGAGGTCGGCATGTCGCAGCAAGAGCGTCAAAAGACAAGAAAGTTTTTCAAGCAGGATGCATATCACTTGCCCGAGATGGATGGCGATATTGCATCCATGGCCAAGGCGGATGATCCCAGAATTATGAGCATTGAAGAATTGGAGGAATATGCCCGACAGTTCCATAACGGCGAAGACATCAATCTCTACGACTTCAGCAAGATCGACTTTGATGGCGAGTTCTTTCGAAGCTTACCAGCAGCTGATAGATACAACATTCTGAATGCGGCAAGACTGCGTAGTCGTTTGAGGATGGGCTTGAGCAAGGAGCAGCTTGACGAGATGTTCCCGAATCGCATGGATTTTTCAAGATTCCAGATTGAAAGAGTCCGCGAAAGAAACAACTTGACACAGCGCCTCATGAAGGAAGCCGGCATGACTGGTCTCGATCTCACTCTGAACGGTGGCGGCAGAATCGCCGGTGAAAAGGACAGAGAGTACATCCTGGTCAAGAACGATGGCGCAGAAGGTGGTTGGGCCCTAGGAGTCGTGAGCAAGGAGAAAGACCTTGGCGAAGCCCACAAGCCCATTGATGTCGATGCATTGGACTTTCAGTTCCAGCCCAAAGAAAAGGCTGAGGCATCTGAAGAGGAAGACGACTTTGAAGATGTTCCGGTCGAGGGTCTGAACCGGCTGCCCAAGATGTCCTCTAGCGCAGCCGCACAAGCATCCCGGCAAGCAGCTATCCAGAGGCAACAATTTTATGGAAACCGGGGAAGCAGCGAAGTGAACGACTTGTTCGAAGAGGAGGAGGAAAGTCTTTTTGTCGATGGTGATTTGCCGGAAGCCCATGTCCGAAATGTTGCTAGGCAACGAGGCGATGAGCCAATGCACCCAGAAGAAGAAGATGACATCAACCGGGCCATTGCCATGTCACTGCAAAACCAGCACGGAGAAGCTGCTCGAAAACCTGAGGAGGATGAGCAGTTTGAAGACGTGGAGTTGGAGGCACCTGAATGGAAGCAGAAGGCTGTGGAGGCACCCAAGCCGATCGCCGCGAGGAGCGGTCGCATGGTCGCCCACATCGTAAACAACAGGTCTAATGCCGCAGTGCCAAAGAAACGCGCCAACAGTGCCAGCAGTAGTGACGGAGAGATGGACCTGCAGGCGGCTCTGAAAGCCTCTCGACAGAAGAAACGAGTATTGCCCAAGCCTGTAGTGCCCAACGTCAAGAACCCTTTCGATGGACCACTGCCGTTCCCCAAACTCGCATGGGGCCCCTCTCTCTTCTCCATGAAGGCTCAATCAAAGAAGCCTGAAGTGGCAGCCCCAAAGAAGCCAGCGCAAAGTTTGCAAAAACCGGCGCGTAAAGATGGTGATGACGAATTTGGTGGTGGTTTCTTGGCTGATGGTGCTGAAGAGCAGCCTGCTGGCGACGAAGACGACGAAGGCGGCTTTGAACGAGGGCCAGAAGAAGACCGTCCCAAGCCTCTACCTCCCTGGATGGTGGACAATACAGATATCCGAGAGTCGATTAAACAACAGCGGCAAGTGGAGAGTGAAATCAACACGGAAGATAGAGAGGCTGCGCAGGAAGAGGAGCGGAGGTTTGAGCGTCAACGACAAAACCAGCTCATCGAGATTCAGTCCTCTGATGACGAAGACGACGACGTTGAAATTCTTGACGCGCCTCCACCTCCGAAGCATGCTGCTTCCCAAGAAGATATTACTTTCCTAGACGAAACCAATGCCGCCGACGATGCCACAAACGCAGAGGTCGAGCCCGAGAAAGGAGAAGACGAGACGGCTGCATTGTCAGAAAAGGCAGATGTGTTACGCGAATCATCCCAGTCTCCCGAAGTCGAATTTGAAGACATTCAGCCTGAAGAAGTCGACGACGACATGGAGGTCACTATTACAGCAGTCCCTGACTCCCCCGAGCCAGAGATGGAAGATGTCACCGAGCCACAGGGTCCTGACTCCCCTCCAGACCCAATCATGGAAGATGTCACCATCACCGCAGAAGAGCCGAAGCCCGTCGAAGAAGAAGAGCACGAGCTTACGTTTGAAGAACTCATGGACGGGCCCACGCTTGATGATCCAAACACCGCTGGCGATCCAGTGCAAGACGCCGAAGCAGCCGTCTTTGCCGAAAGCGACGACGAGTTCAGTGACCCGGAAGACGAGGAGCTCTTTGCCAACCTGGCGCAGGAAGCCGAAGAGCATGCCCGCTTTGCCAGCGAGCTGAACAACAAGTCGGAGCAAGAGAACAAAGAGGCATACGAAAAGGAACTCAAGGCGCTGCGCACGCAGCAGAAGAAGGACCGCCGCGACGCCGACGAGGTCACGCAGGTCATGGTCACCGAGTGTCAGGCACTCCTTCGCCTCTTTGGTATCCCCTACATCACCGCTCCTATGGAGGCGGAAGCGCAGTGTGCGGAGCTGGTGCGTCTGGGCCTGGTGGATGGCATTGTCACCGACGACTCGGATTGCTTCCTCTTTGGCGGCACGCGTATCTACAAGAACATGTTCAACAGCAACAAATTTGTTGAGTGCTACCTCGGCTCGGATCTCGAAAAGGAGCTTTCGCTCTCACGCGACCAGCTCATCGCCATTGCTCAGCTTTTGGGCTCCGATTACACCGAGGGCTTACCTGGCGTCGGTCCCGTCACGGCCGTGGAGATCCTCTCCGAGTTCCCCGGCAAGGACGGTCTCGCCCAGTTCAAGGAGTGGTGGGCGGACGTGCAGCTGAACAACCGGCCCAAGGAGGCCGACGCGGGGTCGCCTTTCCGTCGCAAGTTCCGCAAGTCCCAGGGCACCAAGCTTTTCCTGCCAGCGGGGTTCCCCAACCCGGCCGTAACGGACGCCTACATCCGGCCAGAGGTCGACGACAGCCCGGAGCACTTCCAGTGGGGCGTTCCAGACCTCGAGGGTCTGCGGCAGTTCTTGATGGCGACGATTGGGTGGAGCAAGGAGCGCACCGACGAGGTGCTGGTGCCTGTGATTCGGGACATGAATAAGCGCGACATTGAGGGCACGCAGACGAACATCACGAGGTACTTTGAGGGTGCTGTCGGCGTGGGCGCGAGGGATGCGTTTGCGCCGAGGCAGAAGGGCACGACGAGCAAGAGGATGGCTAACGCCGTGAGTCGGTTAAGGGCTAATGCCAATGGCGAGCAACCGGGAGATGTGGAGCAGGAGGGCGGAGCTTCTGCTGCTGCTGGCACGGCGGCGCCGACTAGAACTACGGGGAAGAGAAAAGCTAGGGCTAGGACGGCGGCTGCTGAGGATGAGGATGAGTTTGTCGATGATGAGGAGGAGAATGGGCAGGATGGTCGAAGCGGTAGAGCCCGACGCGGAAAGAAGGCCAAGGCATCTGCATAGTCATTCGGGTTGATAGAAACCACAAACTTGACTTCCGTCCATTTTTTGCGTCACTTGCTTGTAGTATTACGGAACGAGGCACCAAGGTGATGGCCCGTAAGTAGAGAGAACGAGACGTTGTATCACCAGGGTTCTTGACGAAAAAAAGTCTTTGAGCCAAAAAAAAAAAAAAAAAAAGGTATGCCTTGGCTCTCGAAATCCACCCCTCCTCTCGCTGCCACAACTCCGCTGTGGCGATAGGCTGGTGATTGAAATCGCGCAGTAAAGCACAAAATCTCTCAGCTTCGGACACAAGTGGTAGAATTCACAGACCTGCATCGGATATGTGAGTCACAAGTAGCAAATGCCCGAAGGAAGAAAAGACCCGTTGGCGACTTGGTCCAATGAGGCTCAAGATGATAAAGTCTACTATTGGATTTAAATACTCTTCTCCCACGTCTCTGCGGGTATGTATTAGGAGGGTCTACTGAGTAAGCGCCAAACCTTTCCTTAAGGCTGAATGGGATTCCATTCCCGAATCCGCTTTTCGAGAAGTGATTTTCAGGTACGATGTAGTAGTTTAACTCGCTCTTACGCACGTGCCGAGACCAGATCTGGGGTGGAATATCATGAGTTAAAAGTGGGAAGAACTAGTTCTCCGAATGCCAATCGAACGGAGGGGTAAGGCAGAATCTTTTTTGCGTTTCCACGTGGCGAGGC